TGTGAATGCGTATTTTCCAAATCGTCAATCTCAATTTCTCAGAAGTGTCTCAAACAATCGGCCTTAAATAGATTCTCAAACTTCTAAGAAATCTTCCTCAGGTATTACACGAAGGAATAGGATTCAAGATAAAAATATTACTATTTTTAAAAATTTAAACGAAAAATTTCACAGGAAACCGAAAGCTTTCAACTCCGATACAAAAGGAGTTATAGAGCTTTTCAACTAACTAAAAGATGAGAAAATTGTCAAGATATAATATTTTAATGCTTGTTATTAATAGAAATAAATTTGATTTGACAACAAAATTATTAAAAAAAAAAAACGTTGGTAATCGAATATCGAATAATAATTTTATATTGCTTTCTAAGATGAATATGGTTTACACCACTGAAGTATTTCACGACTTGCCTACTTCAGCAGATTAATATGATTGAAAAATTTAACACTCAGAATCAATTATAATGAAGTAAATTTGGGCGGGCTTATAGTAAAATTAATCCTTATAATCACTAGCCTTTTGGTGTGGAGAGTACATGATTGTATCCGCGGAAGCAATTTTCGGCCGAGCTCCAACTCCTTCAATGCTAATAACTTGGCTATGGCGGCAGCAAAATTATAAAACATCTTAACAATTCTTGTAAAATTTCTACAATTTGTTGAATGTAATACTAGCAAAGCCAATCGTTCTGCTTGTCCGGACAATGAAGACAAAAGACTACCTGAGAGCGATCATTTTCCTTGCGTTAACCAATAATTTAAACACCCACCTTTTCCCACATATAGTGGTTTATATTTAAAAACAATTCAAAAACAACAGTTTATTACGCATAAAAAAATTATTTTAGATTAGAAAGTTCCAAGTAATATCTGCTTGAATATATTAACGCCCATAACCACCTCCACCGCCACCTCCGAGACGTCCTCCACCACCACCGCCACCTAAACGACCACCGCCGACACCGTATCTACCGCCACCTCCTCCACCGTATCGCCCACCACCACCACCGCCGCCGCCCAGATATCCACCACCACCGCCGCCACGGCGCTGAGCTTGGCTACCAACAATTGCACAAACCAAAAGTACTAGAATATAAAGAATCTTCATGCTAACAAAATTCAAGCAGAATGCAATCGAAACACCGCTTTTTATACTTCCTTTTATACTTGTCCGAAACTTCAGCTCGCTACACGCCGATAATTTACTGAGGCAGTAATAACTTAACAAACGTCAATTAAAAAAATATATGTTTTTTTCAAATCTTAACTAAAATTCGTGACACAGAGAAGAGCTGACGCAAACTACATACATACATATATGAAAGTGAACGCTGGCGAGACTTACTTTCTGGGTTGGGCTCGTCGAGTACGTTAATATGCCCTTCATTCGCGGATTTTCATCTCAATTAAAATATATATATGTATGTAGGAAACATATTATCGGATGCAAATCTAACTTCATATACATACATACACGTATATAGGATACAACAATAGGCGTATTTGTGGTTACATTATGTAAAACAAAAATAAATTAAAATCTAATCAAAATAATTTTGTTTTCTCGCCATCATCCAGCGACTAGGAAACTTTTATGAATGGAAAATTTGTATTAAGTAATTTCATCTTTGGATGTAAATAGACAAATGACTTGTAAAAAATAAATAAAATAAATATATTTACTGACTTTTACTTTTGATAAAGATTTTCTGATTTGCAGTGAAGTGTTTACACCATAAGAGTGCAGTGGTGAGAAAGTAGTGTTGCGAACGAGTTTAGTGACGAAACCAAGAGTGGTTAGCATTGCGAACCGCCATTTAGAAGGCCCCTGTTCAAATCCTGGTGTCTCAGAATATCCCAAAAGTTGTAGAAAATTAATTTGAATAAAAAATTAAGTTTCTAATTGCAGTCGCCTCTCTGCAGAGAATGTGTATTTCTGGCATGAAAAATAGCTCCTCATAAGAAAACCGTCAGCCGTTCGGAGGCAGCTTAGTATAAACTGTAGGTCTCTCCATTTGTTGAATGCAAAACTACAAAGTGGGGGTGGAGCTCGGCCGAAAATCGCTTCAGCGGTTAAAAAGCGCCGATTATATATATACGTTTGTATCACCAGAAGAGAATTTTCAGAAATGAAAAACTTGTAGAAGAAAACCTATGTATGTAAGGTAGTAAGTCCCTTCTCTACAGGCGCGTTTGACTTGTTGCGGAGGCCAAGGGGATAGCCAAAGGGTACGGAAGATTGTGCAGTTTTGATGTGTAACGAGTTCAATCTCTTCTTTGACTGTGCGTATATTTAGATCTCTATGGATATTTTCTTTGAGCATGTACCATGGTGCCCCTGTTATTATTCTCAATGTTTTCGCCTGGAATCTTTTTGTAATATCTAGATATCTAGATTTGTCGCGCAAGCTGTGTGTGCTCGGATATGGAACCGAAAAATTTACGAACAAACAATCATGTGGGAGCAAGTTCATTGTCGTTATATCAAAGCAATGAACTGATTATCTCCAAATATGACGTATCTTTTGGAAGTGATCGATAGAAACGGTGTTAAGATTGCCTCTATGAGAAGATGACAGGAATTTAAGTTGCATGTGATATTGAAATCGAAAGATACAGTGAGCATAACCTTCTTGTTCGATCGGTCTTAATGTGACTTTTTCGGTCTTGGAGGTCCAGAATACCTATGCTGTGTTGATTGATCTACGACGTCATGTGCGTAAGCCTGTTGTGCTTCAGGAATTCTACATTTTCGTCTTTCATTCCTTGTTGATTTTGTTTAAAATTGAACAATTTCGTGACAAATTTTGCTGTCACGCGTGTCACATGAAACATTGTAAATAAATGTCCTAGAAACGGTGATCGTTAGTAATTATTTCTTTCTCTTTCTCACCTGTCGTTAATGGGGGGGGGGGAGTCCAGGACACTCGTGAGCTCGCAAACTCACCATAAGCCTTTTTTAACATTTCGCACACTTTATTCAGCATTCAGTAGATACTTTACTCTAAAAGAAGGCGACTGACTCGGGCGCGAAACGGTCTCTACAAATATGGGCAACTTTTGGGATCGTTTAAAATCGATCTCTGAAAGACATGTTTTACAATTTGGTCCGTATCGTACCATACAAATAGATTTATTTCGAGCAGGGTGCTGTAGAAAAAATATTTTAATTGGTATATTATATATATACAAATCTCTTGAAACGAGAATAAATAAGTTTATGCGAATTATTTTCGTTATCTTTCATGTTCTTTAAAGTAATCTAATTAATTTTTTTACCTTTTTTAGTTAAAACATTATAAATAAAATAGAAAAGTCCTTATACGAGTATATGCTCACATACTTACATTTTATGAGGAAAGTCAGTATAGTGGACACACACCTCAGCTTGCTACCAAATGAAGTAAATAGAAGTGAATCCATTTTTTTCTAATAGATCGGTGATAGATTTTCGGAGGGCTTGCCCGAAATTTTCTCTCAAAAGACCCCTTTTCTGGCAATTTAAAAAAATAATTAAAAAACAAAATTGTTTCATTCGTTAACGTGTTCCCAGGAAAATAGGGATTCATTTTGATATATGTATGTATGTATATTTAAATACTGGAAAAGTTTTCGGATAAAAATGTCTAACGCAATTCAGAACGATAAACCCTTTACGTAATTGCGCTTAAGTCATTATATTCTCAAGTTAAACGATAGGTGTATATTATTATATTATATTATATGTGAGTTACAAATGAAAACTTCATAAGTCCATTTATTATTTTTTATTTTTTATTGTTTTAAATTACATTATTTTCATTATTTTTTTCACATTATTTTTTTAAAATTAAAATTATTATACGGAGAAAAGAATAAAAGATGATAATAAGAAGTATCCCACATTTTTCCTAAAATAACCAATTTAAGCCCAAAAGATGTAATAGATATAAATTGAATAGATGATTTTTTTATATAATTTATTTTAATATTGTATCCTACTTTTTCAAATTTCAAGAAAATGCGATAGAAGTGATGATGATCTCATGAAATGAAAATAAATTAATAATAAACTAATTAAATCTCTAATTAGTAATTTTTTCTAAAACTTTTCTTAAAACTTTTTTGTTTATAATAATTCATATGTTTTGTAAATAGCAATAAAACGCTGAGTTTATTATTTGTTAAATCACTTAACCAATAAATAATAACAAATATTTTTTCCCGATTTTACGAAGCAATTTACATACAATATGTACATAAATACAAAATGACTTGAGAAGCTTTTAAGTTTCGTAATTGAGAAATGAGCCGCAGTAGTCGAGGTGTTAGCATTGCGTACTGCCATTCGGCGGGCCCGGGTTCAAGTATTGTTATTATAAGAAATCAATTTGAATAAAAAAACTAAGCTAAATTTTGTAATTGTCGTTGCCCCGGCAGGAATATCAAACTCTCCGAGTGTGTCCCTGACATGAAATAAAACTTCTCATAAGAAAACATTTGTTGGATTCAAAACCTCAAAGTGGGGGTGGAGCTCGGCCAAAAATCGCTTCGGAGGTTACAAAGCGCCAATTATAAATTAAGGAATGAGAGCGCAGATGAGGGAAATTGGTAAGGAATATCGATAATTACAGAGTTCACATTTTCTGATGCAAAATTTGAAAGAAAAAAAAATAATAAAAAAAAACTGCAGTAGATATATAACATATATCTATATAATACATATATGAATTTAGACTCTAGCATCAGAGACACCACATACCTCTACTTCTTCAGTAAGCAAGAGATAATCGTCTTCTAATAACAGTAGCATGCGCCTATGCTCGTTCTAATCGGTGTTATCTACGGTTGTGTCTTTTGCTACTCGAAAAACAGTACTAACGGTTTCTTATAGTTTTACTCTTCATCTTGCCGAACACAAGGACCCTTTTTGAATGGAAGATTTAAGCGCATGCGCTGGTCTATCTAATCTCACCTGCATAAATCCCTCGCCCAAGCTGCCAAAACACACAAAATACACATTCAAGTTTTCACCAACATTTTTTAATCATTTTAACAAATACATTAGCCAGTTTCCAATTTGAGTATTTTCAACGCTTGTAGCCTCCACCGCCGCCACCACCGAAACGTCCACCACCTCCACCACCATATGGACCGCCACCGCCACCATATGGTCCGCCGCCTCCGCCACCATAAGGTCCACCGCCACCACCACCATAAGGACCACCGCCGCCGCCGAACGGCCCACCACCGCCACCACCATAGGGTCCTCCACCACCACCGCCGCCTTGCGCTAGACACGCAACAGCCAAGCACATCAAGAGCAACAGAGCAGTAAAGAACTTCATACTGAACGAATTAACGTAAAATAAGACAGAATCAGTCGCTTTTTATACTCTCGTTGAGATGGTGCTTTACGGCTAAGTAAACATTTTATTTTATTTTATTTTTTATTTATGTATATATTATATATTTACGTACGTATCTCTGAAATTCGTGACAAAGAGAACTGCAAGTGAATATGTACTACAGACACACACAGTTTACACAACAAAAACAACATTAAATACTCTGTCATCGTGTATAGGTTAGGTCAGTTTTAATCAGTTCAGCGTATTTCCCCAATGTAGATTGCTTTTTGCAGGTGGAACATAATTTGTCATGAGCATTTATATACGCGTACATACCTAGATGCTAGGAACCTATCAGAACTTCAGTTATCTCCGTAAATAATGTATGATCAGGCAAACATATGCACACTTATAATTGTTTTGAGTTTGTACGCAATTGGGAATTTCCGAAAATTTCCCACACAAAATAATACTGAAAGGTGATTTCAAAAATCGAGGCAAGCTTTAGCAGCAGCCAACAAATTTTGGTAGAACAACAAACCGCATTGGGAGTTAAGTTTTCGTATTCAGAACCAGAAAGATGAAAATGAATCTTAACACGAGTTTTATGATGACCTCGAGTTTTGCCATAGACACCCAACACCATTTGCCTGAAGCCAGCTCAGATGTACTAGTTGTGTTGACCTTATCTTACTACTAGCACCTCTTATGTGGCAACTGAAGGCCTTGTTTTTCAGTCTAAACCCTCTTCTGTTCGAACATTTTAAACAACTCTTTGCTTTGGTAATCAAGCCAAACGCTCTTGCAGACATATTTATAACGGCAATTCATTCTTCTATGATATTAGCTAGCAGAGCTTGGTTGCAAACGATCACCAGCGTTCGTTTCATTTCTCATCGGTTCCATCAAGTCGTCAGTTATTACTATATATGTTTTTATATTATCTGAATGGGCCCCTCAGTCGACCTAAAATTATCACGTCGAGAACCCGATGGCCATTCCTAACTTATTAGTAACTTGCTGTAGATCTCTTCAGGAAATATCTAAATCGAACATATTAACGCTCTCTCTGGATCCCGTTTACAAAGGTAAGTCGAGACAAATTTGACTATAATGGGATTGGAGAAGATCCTACTATGAAGTATACTTTTTAAAATACTACCGGACATCACTTCAGAGGTTACTGAAATCAAGACGGCACATTATCTTATTGGGCTATATTCAGAAACGATAGGGACCGCCTATAGGTGATGCTGCAGGTGATGTAAGATTGATGAGAGGACAAGTCCACCTACTATGCGATTGCCCTGCTCCAAGCAAAAATATACTTGGACATATTGGAGCCGCTTTGGTGATTGACGTTTGTGCTGAACTTTTCTTCATGTCCCCTCCGAAAGAGTTTGAAAGCGGAAATTATTATTCTGCCAGTTAGACAAAATTGAATATTATGTTTTTCCCAAAGACTTAGCAAAAGTGTTCAAGAATTACTGAGCATCCCAATGAGATATCATTGAGGATCCATACAGTACCTTAGCTAGCCAAAATAGTGTATGGACTTAAAGAAATTAAACATTAAGTCTGTATTTTTGCTATTTCGTTCAAGTCACAATTCAAAGGGGATAAAACTTCTTTGAAAGCTTGTCCGCTATTTTATTACCCGGTATGCCAGTGTCTTCTTAACCATCACTTTAAGTAATCTGCGGCAACTTTCTACCATTTCTGCTTGAACTGCTATAGATTTCAGATCTTTTTGTGCTTGCCAAGAACTTGGTCCGAAATATTCAACTCGTTATTTTTGTAAAGACAACGGTGGTCAGTCAAAGAGTATGGTGTAAAGAGTATATTGACTATAAAACCACCTAGCACACAAAACAGATTTAAAAAAAAAAATTTATATTTCTTGTGTTTCATCAATAAAATCAAGATTATCGATTTCCAATTTGAGGAATTTCAACTCCTACATCCATCAGAGCCACCAATATATTTCAATACATAAAAATGAATATTTATTTGCTAGTGACGGTTGATTGGTGTAGGCTGGACCAATCTAGATGAAATTTTCAGAGGTTGTTCGTTGTGGATCCGTATACTTTTCCTGAGGAAAAGTCGGACAGACGGAAAATTCCAAAAAGTTACTTTTTCCCATAATTTTTTTTATATTTTCAATATTTTTTTTTTTTTTTTTAATTGGTTTTTTCTAATCTATGAGAAATAGAAAACAAATTTAAAAAAAGAGAAAAGATGGTTGCTAAAAGAGCGGCGCATGGTCACAAGGACAGGCGCTGGAAGCGTGTGGCATAAATCTGGAAATGCCATGGTTTTCACACGACCAGCGCATTTACGCGGAACAGAAAACAAAAAATGTTGTTGCTGCTTTAAATTGAAAAAATGTAGACAAATCGTAAATAAAGGGTTTCCAACATAATTTCAAGCAGGACAACGCCAGTGGGGCTAATTGGTTTATTTAGATTTGTTTATTTTTCCTTCATTGTGATGAAAATAGCTGCAACTAGAGAAGAGAATATATGGCAGATTATACACCACCACCTCTGTCACCGCGTGCATATATATATTATATAAGGAATTTGGGTCAGTTTTAAACAATTCAAAATATTTTACCATCAGAGATAGCTTTTGAGCAGCGGAAAATCATTTGCCGTAAAAGTTCATACTCGCATGGGTACCCAGATCCACAGAAACTTTCACATATTTTTATTGCTTAGAACACAGACTCAAACAGCCTCTCTGAACTTCTGTTATATCTTTAATTAGTGAGAGATTACGGACCTGACGGCGAGCGACCGCACTTAAGCCTTTAAGCCACAGGTCTGTGATACATAAATATTTATGAAGAAAATCTCGGGATGGATGGAGTATGTAATGCTAAATTTAAATTTCTAACACCTTTAGCAGAAAGCAGGAAATATCGCAAGTCTTATGTCCTTTAAGAAGCATCAAGTGAAATGAAGAACATTTTCTCAATATCATAGCATTCTAATGCTGACTCGATGTTACTATAAAGGCCTTCTCTTATGAACCTTCGCCAATATTATTATTAAGTTTAGTTTTCGTTTCATTTAATTTATACGTGATTAATGTCGTGGATTCTTAGTATAGATAGTGGCTGATCTCAGAAAGATCTCATAATATAATTTTTATTCTGAAACAAGCCGACGCCACAGACAGCTTTAGAAGCACTCTATCAGAGGAACCACGCTCTGTAGCGGAGTGATCTTTGATCCCAAGAACCTCTGCCGGAAAATCACTATAATGGCCTGGAAGCCTGAAGATAATGTATATTTCTCAACAGAAATAGTCGTGGCCAGTTTTTCTCACCCACCTCAGAGCTATAATAATGTAGACATTTTACGGCGCTGACAAATACTGACCAAAGATGAAGGGAAAGAAGTCGGATGTATACCAGTTTGCAACAGAGCTGCACACAATATCAAGAGAGTGGTTCACAATCATCGTCAAAACAGTTGGACTTCTTTCCTTCTTAAGGAACATCATAAAATTTACAGTTCGAGTCAAATGAAATATTTCAACTAGAGGTGAAGGCAGATTCACTTAAAGTTACTAATGTACACTAGAACAAAGGCATTTGTGGAAGGAGTTCTCACTAAGCCGACATCAAGTGTTGAGCGTATCCCTAAGTTATTTTTAAATATCCCCATTTTCAAAATTCATTAAAATAAAATAAATCCAAATTTTTGCAACTTTAATCAACTTATTTATTAATATTCAACAAATCCACGGTTACCGCCACCTCCTCCAATTGGACCGCCGCCACCGCCTCCTCCGATCGGGCCACCGCCTCCACCTCCTCCAATTGGACCGCCGCCACCACCGCCACCGCCGATGGGTCCACCGCCTCCACCACCATTCGGACTGCCACCACCGCCACCGAACTGTGCTTGACTGGAAGCAAACAAGCAGACCAAAAACGCTACAACAAGTAGATACTTCATGATGTTCGCTCTGTTATTATGTAAGTGAACAGAGCACACCGCTATTTATACGAAACACCTATGGCAGCAGCTGCATAAATGTGCACAGCGCACTATGGACTCTCTGCCCCTGGCATCTTAGCGACCACTTTGTAGCTTTAGCAAATCCACAACAAAGAGAAATAGGCATGTGGTAGCTATACATACATACATATATATATGCATATAATATAAAACGACATCTGATTGCAACGAGAAGTTAAACGATCAGTTGGCGGACGAAGTATGCTGAGTTGAACGCAGTGGAAGATTAAACGCTTGTATTTTGTTATTGTGATAAACTTCATTTGGTGGGGTTAACCTTTTCATCCGACGTTCACGTTCGCCACGGTTGGAAGAATGAAAATATCATAAATAACAACAATAAACTTAATACTTCCTATTTGCACAAATAAATACACTGAAAGTTGGTTTAAATTGAGAGGTAACAATTAATGAAGCCGCTAATTTTATGAACCCGTTATTCAGTAATAATAACCGTCAGTTTTCAAATTTATTGCAAGAAAATTGTTTTTTTTTTTTGTAATTTCATTAATTTTTATTGCTTTCCCCCTAGAATTTATTTATTAGAACAACAAATTTATTACAAAAATTTCTAACTCGTAATAAAACAAGAAAAATGTAATTGAGCCAAATTCCGTGTTTGGAAAACCTGGACCATATGTTAACTCTCTCCGCCTACTGACTAACACACGCACATTAAAGATAAGCGAAAAATCCAACAGATCGGCGACCGAAAATCAGTAACACTCAGGACTGCGCCGGTAGCGAGACCGCGAAAGTTGGGGGTTACACTTCCATCTTACACTCTAGAACTATAGATTTTCTCATCACGTGCTGTAAATTGAATTGAGAAAGGGAAAGTAAGGAATAAAAGGAGTCCTGAAGTGGTTGCAGAACGTCAGCTATCAGCTCACTTAGCCTGTGTGAATATTACTGAGGATCTGTAGGGCATCCACCCGCTAGTCAAACCAGTCGAAGTGTAGTTTTTTAGGTTGGTGATCAAAATCTCTATCTTTTTTTCTTCTTTATAGAAGATTATAGTCTGAAAATAAAATAGTGTACATTTGATGGGTGCAAGACCACAATAGCAATGAAGGCGATGAGATAGCTGAAGAACTTGCTAAAGAGGGTGACTACTTAGTACAGGACAAAGCAACGAACCCTCCAGTGCCATTCAAGGAGGTGAAGCAATAGCCACAAGTAATATTACTAACTAAACATGATTCTTCTCCACCTGATTTTTCCGAGAGAGTGGAGATCTTCCTCTGCTCCACCGGCGGTTACTGCGCCGAAATCTTTCAAGGCCGGAATGTTGTCACCTATATGAACGTTATAAGCACTGGTGGTGTTGTTGCAAGTGGAGAACTGCAGCTCTTTCATATTTGAGCGATCTCATTGCCTCGTAGTTGACTATGCCCCGGCCACCTTATCATTTCTTCTTTCCGATATTTGGTATCATTTCAAAGTAACATAAGAAACTCATGCTGTGTTCTATTTATTCATCGAGGTGACTCCATCCTCATCTGCCAACAACTAAAGATACGGAATGAATTGATTTTGGATATAGAATCATGTACTCTTCGGGCGGCAGTGTATTGGACGACGTCGAAAATACATATGATTGCTCTGCAGACATTTTAAAGACGAGACGTTCCCTCCACTTTTAAGTTATTAAGTTCTCTTAATAATTATTTATGAGTCTATTGTAACTACGTCTGCAACTGAACTAAAATTTATATTCATATTATTTTTAATGATCATCTCTAAGGGCAAAGGTCGATTGAGATCTTCCAAGAGAGCCAAAGCAAAACTACTCTCGGTAGTTCATGTCAAAATGCTGAAGGGAATTGGTAAGAAGTACATAAAAAAGCCCAACACCTTGAAGTCTCGGAATCTGGGACTTAATTTACAAATTTTCTGATACAAAGCAAAAAAAACTTATCCTAACCAAAATACATTTGAAAACCAACATCGTGGTTAAGGGCACAAGAATTTGCCCGCGGTAAGGCATGCCTGTCGTAAGAGGCGACTAAAATTCAATAGTCCCCTCGACAGCCGAGTCTTTATACCGGAACGACCCGGATTTTTATCCGGCCAAGGACTGTCACTCCCGCAACATTCCCCAAAAAGTACTTTGGGGATATTTTTGCGGTTAACAACATCAACAACAACAACAACAACAACAACAACAAACGGATTATGATTTAATCAAATTGTACCACCAGACTTAGTAGGTTATCAGGCAGAACCAAAGCTACCCTTCTTCTAAGGGAGTGAAATGTGTGAAATAAACGATGTGGGTACTCTTAAGGCACCCTTTCACATCAAGCAGCACAAACCGCTGCAGCTAAACTCTGGTACTATAAGACGCAAATCCCTAATCACTCAAACATTTTGCTGGGCTTTTATCTATCTCTACCGAAGATGGTCTAAGAGAACAGAATGTCACTCACTTGGGATTCTAACTGCCGGGACATAGAGGACAATTCCAGCTAAACAACTTCCCATGAAAGATTCTTCCCTATACCCAAAACATTTTTAAGAGGTTATCTAAGGTGAGAGCAAAGATTAATGGTAGAGTAGCTGCAGAACAGCGCAGAGTTTCTATTAGAAGTTGCTGTATGAATAATAATAAGAAGAAACGTTCTTTCATTACATTCTGGGATCTACCAAATCGTCCTCAACATACATATCCAACTTAGGAAACCTTTCGTCTTGCAATAACTTACTCTAGAAGAGGCAGCTAATAACCATCCTCGGCCTGCGGAAAAATTAGCCAACTACTTATTGAAGTGGTTGAGATACGAACTTTCACTTGCAATGGTGACTAAGGACAACTTTTTATCTAAAAATTAAAGCCGAAATCATCACCGTCCAAGCCAACAGAAGGAGCTACAATTTGATGTTGGGAGAGACGCACTCCGCCCGAGCTCTAAAGCTCCCTATCCATAGTCTGCATCACATATTCGAAATGATTTTTTACAATGTAGCTATGGCACTGCAGCAACAATTCAATCTACAATTTCACACACACACACAAACCAGCAACAGCGATTAAAGACTTTTCCAATGAAAGATTGCATAATTTTAGGCTACCTTCACATAAACAGGGTGGTCCCAACATATTTTATAATTTTATGTGTAATTTATTACTTCGAAGGAAAGTTTTAAAATGTTAGGCATGGAAAGGTTGTAAGAGCAAAAATATATTAATATAATAAAGTAATATAATTAGTATGTATGCATTAGATTTTGTTGTAAAAAAAAAAAACAAATTCAAACCAAATGATATAAAATAAAAAATAAATTACGTTAAATGGAAAGAGAGTGAAAATATCAAATATGTAGGAATAATATATATATATATAATAAAACAAAATAAAATTAAATTGCAATAAATTAAATTAAATAGAAAATTTATAATAAACCAAATACTGTAGAATTAGATGAAACTAATTGAAATCAAATAAAATTAATATAATATAAATAAATGTTATTGTTTTAATTAAAAAAAATAATAATAAATTAATATATAATTTAAATATAATACTAAAAAGCTTCAAATTAATTAAGTTAAAATTTATCAAATCAAAAAAAAAAGTAAATGTCCCAAAGTTTAAAAATATAAAGTAAAACGAAAATGAGTAACTATTTTATAATAAACAAATTGGAAAAAGAATAAACGAATAAATATTTTAATCATTCAATTTTTTCCCTAAATGACACAAAATCACAATATTGACGGGTCCATTGCTAGTTTTTGAAAACAGTTGCATAAATACTTGTGCTGAGAAGGGGGCAATAGAGAAAAGAGTGATATATATATATAAATATATATAATTGGCGTTTCATAACCACTGAAGCTATTTTCGGCCGAGCTCCACCCCCACTTTTTGGTTTTGCGTCTTGATGCTTTTCCAACAAATGGAGGGACCTACAGGACCTACCAAGCCGCCTCTGAGGGGCTGATAGTTTTTTTATGAGGAGCTTTTTATTTCATGTCAGAAATACACTCGGAGGAGTTCACATTCCCTGCCAAGGGCGACGGCAGTTAGAAGATTTAACTTAATTTTTTATTCAAATTAATAGGACACCACGATTTGAACCCAGGCCTCCAGAATGGCAGCACGCCATGCTTACCACTCGGCCACCTGCGCCGCCAATGACATACTTATACTTTACCAAATAACCCTTTACTTCACTTGTTAGGCACATTTTGGAATATCGTTGTGTTGTATGGAATCCCCACTATCAATTATATAGTGATAAATTGTTAACTAAATTGATAAGAGGTCTTGTTAATAGTCCAATCCCACTCAGAGAGCCATTACCATCCCATTAAGATCATATCTCTAGACATTCCCGACCCCATTCATTGTGTTCATTCAGAATAATCTTTGAAATGTACGTTTCTTTTAGACGTTTGTTAAATGATTTGAATACTCATTGTGCCAGAATTGATTCCCCTGAATGTCTTTTCTGTTTCAAAACTTGTATAATTTAATTTAAGTAAAAGAAATTAAATTAAAATGGATTAAATCAATCACCTACAGAACCTACCTTCCCTTAGAGACACCTATTGAATCACCAGCTATAAGTAAGAAAAATTGGTGGGAAACGAAAGAAAGTTCAGAGAGCGAAAAGATCACGCCCAAATGTATATTTTGTTATGGGCGGCAGAGAGTATATAAGATACTTGACTGTAGGCAATATCGAGCAGCTTATTGAAGATCACAAAAGAGAAGAGAGTATGGTTGATTGAGATGCTCAGCATTGGTTATCCTTGCTTCTCTTCTATAACAAATATGATCAAAGCAGTAACAACTATAATAACCAAAACAAAACCTTCGTTAAACACAGTAAACTAAGAGATCGGACTTGACGTTTACTTAAACAGATTAACACGTGGCCTTCAGTATGCCGATTATGTGACCTTTCAGGGCAATTTTCAGATCGTGAAAATACACAGTGGCCGAACTGTTTCTGCTTCCACTACTTAAACGCTAAAAGGTCATTGACATTCAAAAGCTTAAGCCAGGCGTATTTTGGCACAACTCTTGTTTTCGACTACAGTGTTTGAAAACCCAGCATTCAGCACTCGCCACTTTCGCATTTACTTTTTATAATGCGCGAATGAAACAAAGTGCAAGTCACTAAAAAGCAAGCGCTATCATAACGGTAATTGCGACATTGCTCTGTCTTTTGTACATATATTTTTTTATTTTCGCAAATATGCGCTTATGATTAGATCATAAGCAGGGACGTGTTGAATCGCTTGGCTTGCATTTTATGAGTGGAATTTACGGTTTGTTGCTGTTTTTGTCTTAATTTGGTTATTTGTTATTGCTTTGTTATGTCTCCATTAATTTTCTAACAATTGACATCATCGTTGTTGTAGGGCAATTAAATTAGTAATTTTTTATTTAATATTTTTCATAATGAAAAAGTGGTGAATGAATTCGCCAAAGATGGCACACGTAGCCTTTTGTATGATTTCATATAAAAAAAGGGAAATTTAAAATGTTTATAAATTAATTTTATTTATTTAAAAATAATAACAGTAAAGTAAATGATTTCAGTTTGTCGAACATAATTTAAAAGATGAGTGTATTTACATACATATATTTCGATGCAATATGGAAGGTGTGAGGTGATATTGGCGGCGAGCAACCGAGCGGCCTGTGACCTTTGAAGTCACTTGAAAATTTAGCGCCCTCATCGCGCACATTACGTACGTGTATGCTGAGCTGCTCTTCCTCTCTGCTTTGTGGACTAGAATAAATATGCTTAATCTAAGGCGCGTCCGTAACGTTAACTTTAGCAAACATATTTATGCATTTTTGATAAAAACTAAACTTTAGTGGCAACCGGGTGCGCCGCTCATTTACGTTTGTACCAGCCACCGCTACTGCCGCCACCGCCCGACGCCGCCCAACCACCGCTACCGGAGGACTGCCAGCCACCACCGCCGGACGCTGGTGCATAGTGGTAGCCACCACTGCCGCCGCCGCCACCACTCGAGCCACCATGCGAGCCAGCTGCTGCTGCAACCACAGCGGTATCAAGATGACCGCCACTGCTGCCACCATAGCCGCCGCTGCTGCTACCATAGCTGCTGCCGCCGCTATAACTGCTACCACCGCTGTAGCCGCCACCACTGCTGTAGCCACCGCTGCTGTAGCCACCACCACCACTGTAGCCACCACCACCTCCGCTGTAGCCACCGTAACCGCTTGAGCCACTACCCGTCGCTGCGGCTATCGCTGCTATTTTGGCATCATCGTGACCCCCGCTGCTGCCGCCATAGCCACCCCCACCATAACCGCCGCCACCGCCGGCGCTGTGTGAATCAGTTGCCGCCGCTACAGCGGCAATGTTGGCAATCGAATGTGAGTCTCCACCACCGCTGCTATAACCGCCACCGCCATAACCGCCGCTGCTGCCATGGGAGGATGAGGTTGCTGCAGCTGCAGCAGCAGCTAAATGAACATCATCATGGCCACCGCCACCACCACCGCCGCCATAGCCACCTCCGCCGCTGCTATGTGATCCACCAGATGCTGCCGCTACCGCTGCAAGTTTAACCAAATGATCGCTACCGCCGCTGCTACCGCCGTGTCCACCACCGTGACCGCCACCGTAGCTGTAACCACCACCTCCTCCGCCGCCGCCGCCATGTCCACCGTGGCCACCCGCACTATAACCGCCGCCAGACTCTTTGATAATTGCATAGGTATCGACGTGCGTATCACCACCACCATGACCGCCGGCACTATAACCACCGCCACCGCCACCTCCACCGTGTCCGCCATGACCGCCATGACCGCCAGCGTCCGAGATGATGAGGGTGTGGGTTTCTGCGCCGCCACCGTGACCACCACCACCATATCCACCGCTGTAGCCGCCACCATAACCACCGCCGCCGCCACCACCACCATGACCACCTGCTTCCAAAATTATGGTCTCGTGGTGACCACCGCCACCGCCGCCGCCATGACCATGACCATGATCGTGGCCGCCACCGCCACCACCACCATGACCACTACTAATAAAACCGCCGCTTAAAAGGCCTCCAGTTAATGGTCCAATAATGTCACCGTGACCGCCACTGTCTCCATGTCCATGACCACCACCATAGCCGCCGCCACCGCCACCACCACCGAAGCCACCATGACCACCGCCATCAATAATCACAGTGTCATGACCACCACCGCCATGGCCGCCATGTCCGCCATGGTCACCATGATCCTCCGGCAGATGTATGCGTATATGCACGTGCTCCTTACCAAATGTGGGCTTGCCATGCGCTACACTGCTGGCGAATAGCAGAACGCTCAACTGCGAGGTGGAAGGAGAAGAAAAGAAATTAATACCCACATATGTAACCGTGATCCACAATTGAAGTCACTCAATACATACTATGAACCACTTGGCCATTTCGTCTGCTGAAAAACTAAAAACACTTTTTCTTGTAACTACGCCAGGAGCTGCAGACCGTCTATGTGTCTCGTTTCCGGTCCGTGAAATCGTTGAATGTTAAACTGCAAATGATACGCCAACTGACACAGTGCAGCGTTTTATACACACCACACATTCGAATATTATTATGTAAGCGGTATGCCAGTCGACAACAGCCAACAACTAAGAGCCAAGAGACGCCGGCTTAAGCGCTCAGACGCAGCGCGCTCAAGACAGTCCAAACCAACAACAGCAACAGCAAACACTCCAGCATAAACCGAAATATTATATGGTGGATGGGAGCACAGCGATGGCCAAAATTAACACACATTCACACACACACACCAACTGAGGTGTGCTATAATAAAACCAAAGCCACGCGCCAACATCAGCCGCAGCTCAGCATAAAATCTTCCCTAGAGCAACTAAATCAACAACGCATACAGCTTCACACAAACGCTTGCAAGAGTAGTTAGTTGCTAGTAGCTCTGCCTGAGTTGGTCTCGCCTATCGAAAAGTAGTAGGCCTTAGCAGCGTTGTTTACCATCTGTTGCTGCCGTTCGCTGCTGTACTATCTTCGACAGCATGTTGCAAGGCTTTCACGTAATCGCTTTACCTTCGTGACCTTTGCGCGCGTCATTATGTGCTTTCTTGCGCTCGCTCTCCGCTCTGTCTCTCTCTCCTACGGCGCACTCCAGATATGAGCTAAGTTCGTCAAACCGTTCTCCCGCTCGGTCGCCTTCTGCTATACGGGGGTATTCACAGCGCGTCGGGCCACGCTGCAACGCCTTGTTGTTGTTGTTGTTGTTATTGCTTGACGTCTCTCCAGCATTTCCGTGGCGCGCCTGAAAGTCAGTTTGAATGAGCCAAACATTGTCAAAAAATATACAGGAAATGTAAAGGAAACGACAGTGTATAAGCTTCGGGGCTAACGTCGCGGTGAGCAAGTTGATATGTGGCATGTTCATTTGTTTGTTTGTATGTATATACAAATATTACGCTTATTAGTTTTGCCCACGTCCGGACGCCCGCTCAAAGGGTATATCAATATTTGCACAACATTGGTTCCCCCAAGGGTTGCTTGGCTGGCAATTTCGTGGCAAATTACTGCTGGAAACATTTTCAAATATTTTTTGTTTACCGTTACTTGGCAACTGCTTTTGTTTTGTTTGCATCATTTTCGTGGCGTCAACGGAAGCATTTCCTCATTTATTGTACAAACATACTATGTACATACAGATGTACATATATTACAAATTGTAATCACTAGTAACAACAACAACAACAACAACAACAACAACAACAACAACAACAATCGCAAACTAAATACACATATACGAGCGAAAAGACTTTGGCAATGCCATCGTAAAAAGTCTGCATAAGCTTTACATTCACGCTGTGTTGCTATGTAGAAATAACAACAACAAGGTTATAAAACTGCAACACTCCAAAAGCAAACAACAAAATTACAAAAAAAAACACAAAAAATATAAAAATTAAGAAAATTCAAAAAGCCGAAATCATAAAATTATAAAGCAACAACAACAATGCACAAACTCAAAAGCCGATATACCACATACCAATCACGAATCCACGAATCATCCCATCATCAACATTGTCATTATCAACACAGCTACATGTGTACACACATTCATACCAGCATACGTGCCGGCAACAAGTGCGTTCGTTCATTCCTCGACCGGCCAACATCAGCTGAGCCACATTATATGCAATTCATGGATGGCTCTTTCTCTCACCACTTTCTTGTCTGTATTTTACTATTCGTTCGGCGGCTGCGGCTGCGGCTGCTGTTGCCTAATCTTCGGCAGTGTTTTTTTCCCTACTTTTTTGTTGCTTGTTTTCAGCGGCTTTTGACTACTTTTAACATTTACTGCAGTGAGCATTTTGTTGTTTTTATTTAATATGGAATTATGCACAAATGTATATATTTATATTTACATATGTTTGTTCATATGTGCGACTTGTTGCTGACACTAGTTCAATATGTTAATAGTAGTTGTTGTTGTTGTTGTTGTTGGGTGAGTTTTGATAAACCTGAATGAGAGTGAATAAATACAATAAAATGTATGTTACTTAATTCGAGCCAAATATTATAAATATTTAGTTACATCGTAACACCATCCATCCATCCATCCGTCCATCAGTCCAGCCAACGGTGGAGCAAGCATGCTTCCGCTTACCCTGGATTTTACGGTTATAGTGAAATTAATAAAATATGCGTATACAAATCATTTATAGATAGCATTAATGTTAGTTGTAGTTGTTGTTGATGGTGGCGGCCACGATAGCCGAGTGATTAGAATTGCGTACTGCCAGTCGGAAGGCCAGGGTTCGAATCCTTAATTTAAATAAAAAAAAATCGATCCTCGGCAGATAATCTCAGGTACCCTGAGTGTTGTTCTGGCATGAAATAAAAGCTCCTAATGAAATTCCATTTTCAGAATAAACTGTAGATTCCTCCATTTGTGTGAAAACTTCACAAATCGAGGGGAGGTCGGACGAAAATCACTTCAGCAGCGGAGACGGGCTCAAACACACCTGACGGGTAAGCTCGTAGCTGAAGGAGAGTGGGTTTTATTGAACATATAAGAAGGTGGTTAGTGTCATGAAGAGACTCAATGCATGAAAGACATAGGAAAGTTCGTCGGATGTAGAAGTTTAATCTGTAACATTATCCAGACGTTAACTGCACTAGTATTACTCGTATTTTGTAGGCAGAGTTCTTCATGATTGGTTTTCGAAAACGCCACACAAGGAAAGCAACTAAATGAAGATTTTGAAGGACACTCTGTGAATAGCAGTTGGTGCTACGCCCCACGATGGAAGCGTTCCAGTACATTAAGCGTTCCTCCATAGTCCACTGTTTTAAGCAACATTTCCTTCTGCATGCATGTGTCTTCTCTCTCACACATTTCTCTCACTTTCTTCATTGTCACTTGGATGTCTATCAGAAAGAGAATATAGTTTAATCTACATTCAAAAGATTGCTCATTTGGTTTAAGTAATGCCCACAATTTCTGCTTGGTTATGGATGAACCCTGAATCGCTCTTACCATCATTAACATATACATGGATATCTTCACTGTTTCGGCAAGAGAAGACGTAGGTGGCATCTACCCGCCAGAAGTCTCACTAGCAGGTTTCCCATTATGTTCATCAGTACAGTATTCCGACACACGTGACTTCTTCGTCAACGTCTCACTAGCCTCCTGTGTCAAAATCGGTACCAAATGTTTTTAACCAGCCGTACGATTTCTTTGTGAGATTGCTCTACAACCATCATTACCATCATTACCGATATATTTTATGGTGCAGCAATGTGGTCGATGATTAATTCTACTCTCCCTTTTTTTATTCACAACCAGCACTTCAGCATGACTTCCAAAAAGAGCATATACGACCATCGCACTCAACGTCATAAATAACCAGATAACTAATGACCTCAACACAACTCAAATTGTCCTGAGAGCAATGATGGATCTGTCAATCATACAGTACTACCATCGGACATTACCAACGGGGTTGAAGAAACGGACATAAATTATCTGAGTGGTTGACCGTTTCAAGTTCGATCTCAGAACTTGCCAGCAGAGCCCACACATCGAGGATATAGAAACGACACTCTATTGGAAATTTGTTGATGAATATTTGTTTTATAGGTCAAATGGTTGTTATCTGAAATCCATTAATGAATCGTAGGTTCAAATAGCGGCAAACGTATCCTATTTGCATTTATCTATTGTTTTATCTCTGAAAAGATCTAGCGTTGATATGTATGTATATATGTTTTTTTTGCTGTTTGCCAATTTATGGTTTTGCGTCTTGATGTTTTCGCAACAAAGGGAGGGTCCTACAGTTTATTCTAAGCCGCCTCCGAAGGGCCGATAGATTTTTATGAGGAGCTTTTATTTCATGTCTTAAATACAAACTGAGCATTCCCTATCCTGGATGTTGGTCGAACCAGGACTCGAACCATGGTATTCAGAAGGGTGGTATGCATTTTCGATGCTGCTTGGAGAAAAGAAGCAGTTTGTCGAGTAGTCCATGAGTTCTTCAGCGAGGATATTATGAACAAGCTCTGTAACCAACTAAATCGAGTCCTCGCTGCAAATTAGTGGAGTAGTACACCAATGTTTCATCACGAAGGAGCATATTTATCAAAATCTGCGAAATGTGTCTGCCTTGTTGAAGTCCATCTTTGGGCGGAGCAGGAAAATCAAAATATAAAGAAATTAGATTGTTCAGCTTGGTGAAATTCCCAATTCACAGGGTGTTTGGTGTGTGCGCACATACACTGAGGAAGAAGAAATAGTCAAATAAGCCGAGCCATAATTTTTTGCATGATTTCCAGTGTTTATTTATTATCTGCAATTCCGAAGCGTAAGTTTACTAAAAAAAAAGAAAATGAGAAGAATTAAAATTCATAAATAAAGGGAAAAGATCCATTTGAAGTTACGCGACACAAGATTGGCAAGTTGAATAGCTCCATACATAGATTTCACAAGTGAGCAGGACGGTTACCTGTCCTTTTTGATCGAGAAGTTCCTACCTTTTGGCGAAGAGTGTCAGCTTCGCATTTAGTTTCGTTGTAAAAAGTGGTCAAAGCTGGCTTCTTCTTCTCGGATTGAATTTCTAAGCCACTGTGGTATGCACGCAATATCGTGACATTTTGTTTTTCTATGGCTCAGTTCTGGCTCATAAACAACTTACTTTGAACAACTGGGTTTCCCTTCATATCTTTCAGCTCGATTCTTCCGAATTGTTACCTTTTGCTTGTATAACTTCTTGGCTATCATGGTATGTGAGCAAAAAGTAAGGTGAATTTTTGAGAATTTGAACTTTGCGCTTTTGATATCGTAGTTACTTCTATTTTTCTTGCCCTCATCATTGGTATTTTAGTTGCGCTTATGTTTACTAAACGACTAAAAACGACCACCATGTAACTTCTGGCTTTTCCAAAAACTTGAGAGACCACATCGAGGACACCATTTTCAGTCAATTGAGGAGTTTAAACGTGAATCCGCGCGGAAAAAGCGTTGGATTAAGTGCATTGCATCGGCCGGAACAATTTTGAAGGCGACGAAATCAATGTGGAA